GTTTGCCACCAGTCCGACCTGTTCCAAAAGCATCTGCAAGTCTGACTCAGCGCGGGTCACTCCCAAAGACTCCAGTGTATCCTGGTCAAGCCTGAGAGCGCCAAAACTAGTGAGACATGTCTTAAGTGGGTGCAATCTTGCAGACAGGGCATGTGAAGAAGCAATCAAACAGCAACTTGGCTCATGACCTCTCGTCATCAGCTTGATCCGACGAATGCAGGGTTCCAATACCCTGAGCACTGCAGTGGCACAACCGCTTTGTTTCCTGTCTGCACTGGCCATCCGCAAAGCATTTGGAGCGCTGCATCTTCTGGAAGGGGCCGCAATCGGTGCACGTGATCCTCATCAGCATCCGTGTGACAGTCAGCCAAGAGATGAAAATGGCAGCATTCTCAGGCTCGCGGCAATTCGTTGCAAACCAGTGGCGAACTGCCCAACCTCTGCAAAACATGTTTTGAGATCAGGTTAGCAAGTTGGTCCTGCAGACGATGCTACGCGAATCGAATGTATTCGAGTGTGTGAACTGTTTAGAATGTACTTCACACGCGAGCGGTGATTGTTTTTTTTCCTTTTTTCCCTTTTTTTTCATTTTTTTCCTGGCGAAACACTCAGACGTTTCTATTTGATGCCGCTATATAGGACTGGCAATTCGGAAAAGCGATCTCCAGGCGTGCCCAAAGCGTGCTTCCTCAAATCCTACCCTAAGCCTTCGCTGGTCCTTGCTTAGGGTTGCATTTACATGACATAAAGTTGATTCATATCGCCTTCTGCAGCTCTTCAGGAGCATGCTTTCTCCAGCTCCTCGATGACAAGCTCCTGGCCCACTATGGCCAAGCAACTTCTCAAGGCTCATCGGCCCATTCACTCACGTTTCGTAGACCCCCTACGGTACAGCGGGTGTCGGTGAAGGCACCCGCCGAGAGATCAAAGCAATAAATCCGGGTACAGGTCCGTGAGTGTTGAATTCAACCCCACAGACCCAGATAGCATGGGAGAATTGACGATCAACTCCGCCAGTCAGGAAGCGCGATGATACAGCACACACAAAGTCTCAATGAATCCGGCGGCAGCATCCCGATGTTGGCAGCACCACGATGATGCCACAGCCACGAACCTTTATGAGCTGCATATAAGCACAAGCAGCGGCCTACAATGAATGCAGCAGCAGCATTTTCACTGTTTTGCGGCACCGTGATGATACACAGCCACAACCACTATGCGCTGCACAGCATACCTTGGCAAACTCAAAGCGGTGCGACGGTTGTTGGCAGTGCTTGTTTGATCACGCAGCTCGTTAGCGCGCGTTTGGGGCAAGGGCGCTTTTTGACGCGCTCAAGGCGCGGCTGGTCACGGCGCCCTTTGGTGCACTCAAGGTGCGGTGTCAGTTTCTGGCAGTTACTGGCGCTGTCAGGGCGCTATTTCGGTGCTGGTCAGGGCGCGGCACTGGCTAGGGGACTTCTTGGGCGGTAGTTGCAAGCTCCGCTTGATTCCCAACAACAACACCCCGACCGCACCCAGACTGCGTCGCAAAGCAGCAACCACAGCACCTTGAGCACACTAAACAGCACCTTGACCAGGCACCCACAAAACACCCACGGCCAAACAAGCCACTTCGCGCACACCTAACAGCACCTTGGCCAGCGCGTCAAGCCTCCCACCAGCACCGCAACGTCACCTTGACACTGCCTGCGTCACCAAAGAAGCCACCATCCACTGCACCTTCGCCAGCACTCTGACCAATACCAGCAACAGTGCCCGCCAACGCACCTCGAAACACAACAAGTAGCAGCCCTCAACACACAAGCACGCACAAGAACACGCAAGCCCCGAAAGCGCCGGCGGACTGGCTGCGGCCTGGCCGCGTGCCCAGCCCCAGCCTCAGCCTTCAAACCTACTCAAGCCTTCAGGCCTTCAGGCTTCGCATATCCCCAGCCGCCAAGCGGATGCTTTCACGCAGCGTCGTTTCTTGCCAGCCACGCCTCGCCCTGGAGCCAGAACGGAGATCAAACGAAGCCAATAGCCCCCCGAGGCGGGCAGCGCGAAGCGCTTCCAATTCATTGGTGACTCGGTAGGGTTCCCAATTCATTAGGTAGCAGCACGTATCATTTGCAGTCATGTCCTGGCATCAAAGCCACCATGCGTCTCGGAGAACTTCGAAGACCTGCAGGAAACTTTTGGCAAGCGACGAGTTGATCACTTACCGAAATGTTATTGGGACTTCGGTATTTTCTGAAAAGCGAACCATCCAAATTCAATCTGCATCTGAACCCCTCAGACAGCCCTCTGCCACATGGCACGCCAAATATGGTGGCTTCCCGTCGCGCCTGTTCCGTGCACTGGCTGGAATCTGGAGCTGGGGCAAGTTAGGCGCCTGATGTATAGCGAGATGCGCAGCCAGACGTGACTCGTCTTAGTCTTTGCCGAATTCGGGCTGACTTGGAAGTGGTTTGCCTTGTTTCAAGCCCACAACCAGTTTGGAGTGGCAAACCGGCCACCAAAAATGCCTGGCAAGGGTGAAATGTAGCCCGGTGTGGAACCAAGATGCCGGCGCGCTTTGCGGACGGGCCTGGGGCTTTTGGGTACCCGCATCGCAGTGCAAGTCTGCAGTGTTACTCTGAAACCCAAGTAATATAATATGCACTACTGTAGAAAAGGGCAATTTTTCGGGTCAGTAAATGTGCGAGCAAGGACTAGTACAGGCAGAAGACAACAGGGCGACCCAATTGGCTCTTGCAAACCACCCGTGTTGGGGTTCCCCCCGGCAAAAGGACAGGCTTGCACTGCAAGCTTGCTGCAACCCCCGGCACAAGCCGCGAATCGCGGCGCAGGGCAAAGATTGGCACATTTGTCAAGTCCAAGGTTTGCCGAAGTACTTTGTTTCCCCAAAAGCATCACCTTGTGCAACTCGGTACTCCTGTGCGAGTGTCTTGTGGGAGCTTGGAACATCTGCCCGCAACCTGCACTGCAAGCCACTCGTCTATTTGATCGCTATCCCACATTACTGTTGACTATACATTCATGTACACCCATATCTCATGGCTGTGTCAATACATTCATGTTTGGAACCCGCAATGGCAAGCCACATCTATACCATGCTTCATCGGTGCTTGTGCAATTGAATTCGGCGAGTGTCTCCATTCATTTGACAAGATATTGCTGAGTACCGGTGCCAGTTTCACGTTGAGCATACGAACAACATCCAGCAGGAATTTCCTGTAGAATTGAGCTCACCGCGCAAGTCGATCTCTCCAGCTCGCCCAATCAGGATGTCAGTTCTCAGCTGCCCAGACGGCCCGTTCCTCAAGCGTTTCAAAGCTCGTTCTCGGTCGATTCAAGCTTTCTGGGCGCAGGACAAGGGCAATTTTGGTATCAGCTTGACCTGGCAGTCTTCCAGGATGGAAGGCTTGGACGAACAGGAGCAAGCTTGCAGCACTCTCACGGAAAGTCCTGTTTAAGCCTGTGCCTTCCCCTACACACACAGGCGAACATGAATTAAGCCGGTGCTCTCCAGAATGGAGAAGACACTCTGACAATGAATGACGCAAAGCCTTGGGCTTTCTGGGCTGAAGCAGCCACAAAAGAAAACATGAGATTCTGGCGAACCGCACGCTCATGGCCCTGGCTACTCCCCGGCCCCACCCACCCGCCCACCCAAAAAACAAGTTAGACTGAGGACCTCTTTATTAACATGAGGCTGACATTAGGAAGTTTTTACCAGCATGGTTTTGCAAATTAATTCGAATTCACACTAACGGCCAAGGCAATCGTAAGGAACGGGTATGCCTGCCAGCAAACGGATTTCGCAACGTGTGCGCGGCTCGCGCGGTGGCTAAGCTGCTCCTCTTCTCTTCTTTAGGGCCCAGACCTCTCCGGGGTTTGCCGTGGGGTCGGCTGAGCCCTCAGCTGAGGACAGCGTGGTGAGTCGCTTGCTCCGGCAAGTTGTGCTGGATGGGCTGTCCAGGCCTACTTGACCAGCACTGCGCCTTAGCTGCCTTTTGCAGGGCAAAAAAGGAAAATAGTGTTGAGGTCGGCCTCTACGAGATTTGCGGTGCTAGGTCACCCTTCCCTTGGGTACCAGGGATTAGCTTCGCTGGTCGTACTTGACTTCAGACCTTTCTTCGTGCGCATGCTAAGCGTGGATTGGGATTTTCATCTTGTTGCTGCACTGAGTAGACGTGCCCGATCCCCGGTCCGACAATTTTACGGTGATGGCAGATTTGCACACTCCAAAAAGGGGCAAATTCAGGCTGGAGAGGTTGGCTGAGCGGGTAGGTGCGTGCGTGAAGAGGAGTAGCATACGCGCTTTGAGGACACTAATTATCTGTAGTACATATATATATATATATAGGCAGTAGGGCTCATCTCCTGCCTTGTCTGGGCCAAATGGCCTTCTGCTAAGGTTGCACAGGTTTGACGTGTTGTTTTGCACATACGCCGAGCAACGCTAGCACATTTGATCAAGCGGTCCAAAAAGCGGAATATGTGATGTGGCATTCCTTGAGCGCCGGGGGTCCGGGGAGTCTGAAACCCCAAGTTGAGATCTTGTCAGATCTGTGCAATGACCGGAGTAATGGCCTCGTCCGCAACGTTTGTCTTGGTCTCGGCGACATGGCGACCTTGCTTGACCAGTGATTTCTCGTGAACTATCGTCGTACATCCAAGTCTTTCAAATGGGTATGAGTCCAAATACGTCAAAAATAAACCACCAGAAAAACCGCAGGTGTTGGTACCAGGGCAACCCATTTTGGGGTTGGTTACCCAATTTCTGCCCACCCAACTTGAGTGCCGAGCCCAGGAGAGGCCAGGCCATGAGCAAGCCATGGAAGTCCAAAGCCGCTCCAGTAAGCACCAGAAGAACGGTTCATCGCGCGCGCACTTCGCGCGCGTCAGGTGGTTTGTGTAAGGGAAATGGATGCAAGCTCGCAGATAAGAAATTCGAAGCTGGCCCACAGTTTGCCGTTTGCGGGGCGCATCTTCCATGGTTCAATCAATGTCGCAGCTTAAGCCAAGAAGTCCGGCATGCGCTTGGCCGCTTGGCCCTTTAGCGACATGGCCAACTGAGAAGTCCAAGCGCCGGCATCCCGGTCCGGCTTCAAGCTCACGCACCTCCGGCCATCCTGCCGGCCAATGCGGCATTTTGGCGGAAAAAATCATTTCGGTTCTGCCCCACCTCCAGGGCTTTCTCGTACTCCTCCAGCGAAGCGTGGCAAGCCGACCTTCCGGCTGTCTCGCTGCATTCTCTCGGCCCTTGAGCCCTCCAGCCATGCGCGATTCGGAGCTTGGCCCTGTGGCCACAAGAGCAAGAGTGTATCAAACCTACTCCTTCCAAAAATCGACCAAAGGCTGAGAATGAAGAATATCGTTGTCACGCAGAAAATCAAGCAGGCTGGCCTGTTTGAGAAAAAGACGTGGTCTGGAACGTAGCTGATCGCCTCCCCGGCAAGCAGAGCCACTTTGTGGCAATCTCACGTACCGGTGTCACCAACATGAAAAACGAAAGGAAGTGGCAGACATTGCTCAGTTTCAGCCATGACATGAACAAACAAGAGAAAATATGGCTGTAGCTCAAAAAACCGGTGCCAAAATGGAACCCTGGCAAGTGGAAACATGGACCACAACCTGCGTAACCCCTCCTGTTTAGTTTTGGGCCACAGCCATATGATAGAAATGCCAGGAATGTATGCAGAAACGGCCTCTGTGAAGTGCTCAATGGCCTCCTTGAAGTGTTTGGCCTTGGGGACATGCGATTCGATCCAAAGCTGTGACCGCGTATCCTACACGGAGTCAAAGGCCAGCTGCACAACTCCACGTTGCATACGTTGGTAACTGTTCCATGGAGGTTTTTCGAGTCCTGCGGCGCGACATGGAGTTTAACTCGCATTGGACTGAAACAACTACGCCAATTTGGGTACCAAGCCTGTGCAGCACGTGTACGCTGTGGTCCAAACTGTGTATGGGATGGCTGTGGCTCCGTCAAATGAGATGATCAGAAAGGTTGCCAACAAACCCAATCCAAAATGCTGACGCCCATCCTGACAACATCATTCTATCAATGGAAACATTCTGTCAATGGAAAAGTCTTTCATGACCTTGCTACAAAGCCTGCTTACTCAACACTTCGCACCAAGCTGGGGAGCAGACTGCAAAGGCTGCATTGCCTTTGGCTTTTGCCTCGGCAGCTTTGGCCTTCTCGTCCATTCCTTGGGACATTCCAATCGTAAGGCACGCTTTGGCAAATGCTAAGGCCAGCACCACTGAATCACCGCATGGTGGCGTGGACAAGGAAAGTAGAGATGAAAGGTTAAACAAACAAAGAGTTGGACTGTGTTGGCACGTGGGGCATCTGTGTGCATGTCATATGCAAGGTGCGACTCAATATCCATGAGTTAGCACGCGTCTCTTCACATCCCCAGCTGGAAACGGCTGCGAGAAACAGCTGCGTTGTCAGGAAAGCGCAAGAGACTACGCGACACGGACCATGCCGCCTTTCCGCTTTCCATAGGGGGGTGGGCCACGGTTGGCCGCTACCTCGGTTGCAGACTTGGCCATTGAAAAACAAAAAAGCTCCGCATATGTTGGTGAAGTGAAACAGCTGCACCCTGCAAGCATGTGCTGCCCACTTCTAATAGACACGGGCCCTAGGGCCCTGGCGACAGCAGTCTCGGTGGAAGCCTTGAACGCGCCAACTGATGCATCTGCCACCTGCCGGAAAAAAAGCTGGCGAAGTTTCCATGTGGACTTCCCGCATAAATTGTTTTTCGGGCCTGTTTCCACGCATGCTGTCCCCACTCCCCCACTGAGAAGTCTGCCTCAAGGCTTTGCCGCGGCTGAGGTAAACGTCGCAGCCTCCGCAAGTGCGCGGCTGAAGTTCTGCACGCAAAACACTTTTCCAAGCCCGCCACAAATCAGCCATGGCAATGCGCCACGACCTGTGCAAGCTGTTCAAGCACGCATGTGTACAATCAATCGGCCTATCTACATGCTACATGAGATATGGACCGCTTTGACAGTCCAGGATGGTGCAGAAATCTGGTGCATGTTTTGCAGGGCGTGGCTGAGCATCCCACCGCCACGAATGACACTCCGAAAGTGAAACTAGACATTTACTGCTTCGTCAAAATGCCATCGGAGCACGGAGTACACAAAACTGGATTGGTGTCGACTACGACATGTTTGCAACTCGACAGGCTCAGCACAGGAACTCGCAAGTTTCCGGTACGATGCTAGAACATCGCGATCATTCAAGTAGGGAAAACGTGCGTTTGCACCTTCAAGTATGTACTCCGGCGCTGCACACATGCTGCGTACCTTAACCTTTTCCAAAAGCACATTTGGCTGTGGATGGGACAAACGCATGCAAGGTTGTTCTACAGAATTGAGATGCTCACAACATGACCTGCGCAATCACAAGAGCACCTGTAAGGACGCTAGGTTTGGTCAACAAGACGGCAAACAAGAACGGCACCATTGAAAGTGTGTTTGTGTTACTCGGTGTAAACACAAACAAGTTGTGAATTTATGGCAGAAAAGGGGGTGATGCGGTTCAGGTACTGCTATTTTGGTGTGTTCAAGTTCGCAAACAGTTCATGAATCAAGGGCGCAGGTTGGCGACAACGCCGGCTGGATGCTTCTTTGGGAGACGGGCGTGATCGTTGCAAGTAAGTTAGCAACAGCGTCAATCACAGCAGGCCCGCATCACATCGGTTTGCATGCGCGATGCTCCATTTGCATCTGCCAGCTCAACATGTTCAAAGCTGGCCTGTGGAAATGTAGCCTGTGGACTGCATGCGGAAATGCTGGTTACCACCGGGAAGTGTGAGGTGGCGCGCGAACATGCGGCGCGATGAAACAATGTCATTCAAGGATACCTTGCTTTCCCCGTACACTATAGACATGGTACGCACCCCCAATGGCCAGTCAAGTGGCAAGCTCAGCACATCACGGATTTAAAAGGCAAAATAGTTCCTTCAATTGTTCGCGCGGCGTTGTTTTGCAGAGCATGCACTGCTCCTGAACCTACTCCCCAAAGAGCCACGACTCCAAGAGTTTCACCCTTCGCAGCTGTTCGCAGCGGACGTTGCAGATTTTCTCCCCGCCCTCCATGACACCCCTGCTTGGGTTCTCGTTCGTGCGATTGTGAGATGGAAGGCCCTCGGAGCTGTAAGAAAGATACCCTCCAGCCGCAGCGCAGCGTGACCGGAGGTACAGGTATGCTCATGACTACACAATTGTGGCATTTTTTCTTGCTAGGCCACCTTGCAATTTGTGGTTGCTCTGTGTGGGATTACACATGATTATGGTGCTTTCGTGCTCACTCGAGCCGGATCATCTCGGTGATGAGTTCGGCGGCAGCCTTTCTCTTTCCGCCGTGCAAACAAACACATACAAACAGGTTTGAGATTCAAAGAACAAGCCCAAGCGAACAACTCAAAGCAGTTCAATCTCAAAGACCAAAGAGGAGCACTGCGATGCCAATGGCCAAAGCCCGGCGTTGAGTGGAGGTTCAACCTAAGTTGGACGTGCGGCACGCAGCATGGCGCGCAACAAAAGGCCAAGTCTCAAGTCAGGCTGGTGCGGGCGATAGACCTGAAGTCATGAAAACTTGCAATAAGGCACGACAGTGCACAAGGTGCGAGTGTGGCGGTTCCAGATTCTTAGGCGTGAAGCACAGCGGCGAAGAACTGGGTGGAAGTAAATCCACGGCGGAAAGGAAACCCCAAGCACTGCTCCTATGTAGACAATTTTGCCCCTCAACGCCGGATAACATGCAGTCCTGTTTTACCCGGGATGCGCAGAAGTCTCGAGTTCGGCGGCGCACAGATCCAAACTCGGAATGGACCCTCAACCTGACCTTTGCTGACCTCCTCCGCTTTAGGGCGGGTTGCGTCACGTCTGCCAGGCGCAAGCAGGCGCAAGCGGCAACTGTGTACTGCAATGGTGAAGTACATGTAAAAGGCAGGTTTGTGCGACAACTCCTGCGAATGCGCACGCGTCGAGCTTCAATTTCTACACTCACGCGAATCCACGGGAAACAAATGATCTTGTCACGCGATCTGCGTCAATTGCACGTGTGCTGCATGCCATGCGAGCGAAATGATGTGCCGTGCGGGCTGACAGCGCACGATGGGCTATCCGCCACTGTTTGCACGTACCAGTTTCATGTTCAACATGCCCATCAACGTCAATTGAATCTGCCAATGTCAAATGGGGCCTTGGCGCCTCCAAATACAAGCGAATCTCACATATATTTTTTGCTGATTTTGATACCTACTCCGCCAAAACTTTCGACTACGTCAGTCTGCATCAAATGAACGACCTTCTTGATGCGATCTTCCTTCTGCGGCTGCTTCTCCTGCTGCTTCACCTTGCGCAAACTCTGCCGTTGCGTCCGCTTCTTCTTCTTCTTCTTCTTCTTCTTCTTCTTCTTCTTCTTCTTCTTCTTCTTCTGCTTGCTTGCTTGCTTGCTTGCTTGCTTGCTTGCTTGCTTGCTTGCTTGCTGGCTTGCTTGCTTGCTTGCTTGCTTGCTTGCTTGCTTCGGTCTGCGTCAAGCAAATCTTACCCTCTCGCAAAGCTGAAAAAGCACTGATGTATCTGCTCGGAGCTTGGTGAGCGCATCGGCCATATTCTAGCCCCCGTCTATCCACCTCACAAACGATGTTTGTCCCGTGTATTATCTCTTTAAAGAGTGCACCTTCAATCGCCATCTGCTTGTCGTTGCTTATGTTGTGAGAATCCTTGCTGAGACACGGCACGAGAAAAACAAAAACGGTGAAGGGCAAGCCCAAGGAGCTGGTTTTTTCGGCTTCATTTCGCGCTTTGCCAGTTTGGACTGCGAATTCTTGGGTCACTCCCCTGGAGTGCTGGTCAGGTGAGGTCAGGTGACGGCGCCGTTTCAGGTGTCCTGGCGACACCATGCCTCCGTGCCTTTGGGGATTATCTTGCTCATGTTCCTCATACTGGCCAGCTTTGATGGGCCGCTTGCAACAAGAACAGCTCCAAGCTCTCGGGCGCCGCTATGAGTTTCCTATGTTGGTGACTTCGATCTCTACGCAACTCGCGTTTTGTGTTTCTCGCAGTGGGTTGCTGGACATGTGTATTCCGCAGGCTCCAAGTACATCATTTTGTTTGGACCCGAGCGGACGTTGCAATCACGCCAGTCCGCTGTTTCAGCGCAGAGGAACCAAAAAAAACGAGAAGAAAAAAAACGAACACAAACCAGACAAAACCCAACACAAAACAAAACAACCACAAACCCAAAAATATTCGGCAGAAGAGGGATGCTTTAAGCAACCCAGCATCATGACAAAATCGAGCAAGAAACGCCTTGACAATAGCTAGAGCAAAAACCGAGGCAACGAGTGTTCCATTCGTACCCACGGGAGGCAGCGACGCATTGAAAGCCTAAGAGTCAGTGTGAAACCGAACCAGAAGACGTCGGGAGACAGAGGCCTCAACCATGAAAAGAAAGTGCAGCTGCAAGCCACTGCATAAGCCATGAGCACAGCAAAAGGACAAAAAACCAGCGGGAGCGAAGAGATTCTCTCCCCACACCGTGAAACATCCCAAGGGTCAAGAAATTGTGAAAGAAACCGAATCCAAGAACTGTGCATGGCGCCAGCGCATATGTACGGAAAACGAAATGAAGCAAGCTTCCCAATAATGGAACCACCACTGAAGCCCGCATCAAATATCGGTCGAAATCGCCAACAGGCAGAATGGATATTCCAAAACCATTTAAAAGCAAACTAAACATAGTTCGTGAGCGACCCCATAGTACGCAGACCAGGGAGTAGCACGCCGCCCCTCACCAAGCCACTCCAGGCAAGCAAGGTCCACTAACACCTCAAACAAGGCGTGGTGGCGGGGATCCTTCCCACCCGTAAACCAAACGAGCAAGGAATTGTTAGTGCGGTTTTGGGCGAAGATGAAGTAGCCCAGGGAATCAAATGACCACAACGTGGTTCACGAAAAGGTAAAAAAAAGTCTCACAACGAGTGGTAGCTGTGAAAGGTGACCAGGCTGAAGGATGTGACAAAGTAAGTTGTTTGAGGGTTAAATAGAAAAGGACTGCAAAAGAAGCAGCTTTAAGGGACAGGCCCAAGAACACCTCGACGGAACACCTCCTACCCCCCAGAGCACCGCGGCGCCGCAAAGCCTTTTGCGATGGCGAAGAGCAATGCCAGGATATGGTCGCACGC